GGGGGGGGTAGAAGTACAAAAAAGCAGTAGATTTTTTCTGATACTATAAATCAAACGTTTTCCTACAAATTGTGGAAATCTGAAGTATTTTACGAAGAAAAGCTACTCTTAATATACTTAGCTCCGACACACCATTTTCCAACTAAATAAGTTTACAAATATCACAGCTATCCACACAAATTTTATGTTTTAAGTAAATATTATTATCGACACTAATTTACTGGAGTAAATGTTTAAATAAATTTCCGTTTTCTTAAATGCACACTCTGGACCTTTTCCTAATATGTTGGGTGATATTATTTGATTTCCGGTCGCGCAAATCCGCCTTTGAAGCTCTTCTGGGCTATCTACTTCTGTGGCATAAATAATATTGGACGTATAACCCCACAGATAATAATCCAAAGGATTTAGATCATGCGATTGAGCTGGCCAGTTGACTGGGCCACCTCGATACCTGCCTGAAAAATGTTGGTTTAGCCAATTTCTCACAGGTTGGCCAAAGTGGGCTGGGGCCCATCATGCTGGAAGAACATTTCTAACCGAGTGCTTATAGGAATATCCTCTAGCAATTCTTGCAGATCATGTTATAGAAAAGTGAAATAATTATGGGTATTTAACCTATTTGGTAAAATAATCGGTCCTATCAAGATATCCCCTATGACACCTGCTTGGAAGTTTACCCTTCGAACCACTCTCGGATTCTCGAGGCCCCAAAAATGAGTATTATGACTGTTGAATGCTTTGCCTCTTGAAAAGGTTGCATCATCTGACCATAAAATGCTTTTTTTTCAATCATCTTGGTGGCTTAGAATCCTAGAAAATCGTCGGCCCTTAAAGCATGTACCCTTTTATAACGGAAAGGATGCAAGCCTTGCATTTGAGTCATTCCTCCGATCTTATAATACTGTTTAAATTCAAACATATGTTGTACGTCTTACATATGTTTAATGTCGTGCACTCTTTTTTTATCCTTTATTCTTTTTTTTATAATCAAACGAATTGCACGAAGACATTCACTAGTTTTTTCATACTCGGTAAAATTAAAAATGCTTACAATAGATTTAGGGATATTGGTAATATTTTCGAGCAGTCTTAATGCTATTTGAGGATTATCTGAAATTCAATTTAGCGCTCCGTCTAAATTGTAGTTCCCCAAAGGTCTTCCTTGTCCTCGGGGGCGTCTAAATGATCCTTGATCTTTTAAATTCCTATGTAAAGTGCCAAATAATGTCCTATGTGGTAGTCTTCTTGTTGGAAACCGCCTTTGATACTCTCGTAGACCCGCTCGTGCGTTACCAGTGCAGTAACCCTAAATGAAATGAATATCAGCTAACTCCTTGTGGAAAAAACGCTCCATCTTTAATTAATTTTACAACAACGCATTTAAAGATCTCCACTTAATTATGACAATAAATGTCAAACTGACAAACATAACTGACAAGCCAATTTTGTTTCATAGCATACTAACCCAGATATGCCCACTGTCCTTCTAGACGGACGCGTTACAGATCACTGTTTAAATAGTTTTTGCACTAAATTAGGTTGCTTCCGATAAAAAGCACCACTCTAGTTCCTTAATTTAGAACCAAACCCAGTAGGCCATTGTAAATTTATCTATGGTATTGGTGTCTTTTCATAAAAATGAATAAATTGAAAAGGGATAATGGATTGTGACTACGACTTGCGCTAGCAGAAGGAGACGACGATAATTTTGAAACACCAAATTAGCTGACAATTATGCCGCCTACTAATTCGTGCAATTTATTGACTGATGAAGACTCAGGGGACGAAGATGACGTTAATATTAACATTTTACCTTCTTCTCAACTCCGTGCTCAAGCTGAGCTGTTTGTACCTCAGAACTTGGAGAAAGACGACGATTGGGAAATCGAAGACGAAATTCCACTCTCCGAGATACGTGATAGACTTTTAGCCTGAACGCATTATGATATTGTTCAGAAAATGGAATATAATTGGGAGAAACGGGATATAAAAATTTCCAATATGGATATTGAGTGGGCAAACGTCTCCATGAGTCGTAACAATCTATCTCCAAGTCAGTTGTTTAGAAATTATTTCGAGAAAGAAATAATTGATGAAGTCAATACGCAGCTAGTAAAAATAAGCGGTCTGACATTACAGCAAAGGAAATTAGGGTTTTTGTGGGAATTTTGTTATTGAGCGGCTACAATTCAATTTCGGGGAGAAGAATGTATTGGAAAATTCTCCAGATTGCCAAAGTACAATTGTATCCAAATCCATGTCGCGAAATCGTTTGGAACATATTTTATCGAACATACATTGTTGCGATAACAACAATCTAAACAAGAGCGACAAATTTAGTAACATCCGTCCCCTCTT